ATAAAAAAAAAAATTATAGCTTCAAATGCATCATCAATGAAAGGGGAAATTTTTTAAGCTATAGAAACTGGTTATTTTAATTAATTTATCAAGAAGTTGTCTCTTAAAGTGACAAAAAATATCTAGTTTGCTTGTGCTATTATATGTTTCTTTTCGGTTGCATATTAAGTAATCAATAATGTGGCTCTAAAGACTCTAGACATGCAACATCTAAAACCTGTTTTTTTACTTTTTTCTTCTTCTTCTTCTTCCTTTTTTTTTTTTTTTTTTTTTTNNNNTTTTTTTTTTTTTTTTTTTGAAAGCAAGGATTCCTGGAAAATAGTATGTTGTAGGTGAACGTTCTTCCCGTGCCACAAGCCAGTACATGTTTGTCACGAATCATGGAGTTATACATCTTAAGACGAAATCAAACTGAAGAAGGTTAGTTACCTTCTACAGACATGTGATTTCAAGATAAAGAACGCAGAATTTCATGTCTAGGGCAACCAGGCTATCCCTGGGGCAGAGTAAATGAGATAATACTGGTCTAAAAGGAATCTCCCTATAAGCAGTCTCATAAAGCTAAAGGCAAATTAAACTAAATGGACTATTATAACTAACTACTTTAATGGACTATTATAACTAACTACACATAAGAGTCTAGTAGACGACTAAAACTCACATTATATCTAGAAGACAGTAGTATTTTCAGATATTCAACCTATACATGAAATTTGGAAGATGTCAGATATCCATTTTTATTTCATTCAATTATATAATTGGGCTTTTAGGTTCTCATTTGATTAGAATCCATTAAGTTATTGTACTTATGAATCTCTTTAAGTAGACCATCAGTTGATACCTAGGTTTATCTTTTCTTGAATTGAAATTGTCGAACTTAGGCTTGGGTAGGAAGTTTCTTCATGATTCAGCACATGCACTTGAGACAAGTTTCGTCAGTTAAAATCTTTTCTTTTTCATTGCGAGTAAATAATATATTTTAGTTTTTTTTTTTTTTACTTAAATCATTCAGTATTTGGTGGACTTGCCAGATGCGAATTTGATGGAAGAGACGGTAAAGAAGGGTACTACACCATTGTCAACACCTATGGATCGTTAGTTGGGACAACTTGACCGAATTGAGGAGTTGCGTAAGCAACTACTTCATGAAAAAAACGTTGCTGCACTAAAACTTGTTCCTCCCGTAGTTGTTGTAGCTGCAGCACCTGGTCCTCTTGTTGTGTTGGCCGCAGCACCTGCACCTGCTCTCTAGGTGACGAGGCCTTTCACCAGCACTAAATGCTAGTCTCACTACAACTCATGCTCCTACTTGTTTCACTCAAATCAATGTTTCAGAAAAGCATAGACATTCCAAGGACAGATCTCGTGGACATACCAGGCTAAGGTTCATGTACATGTTCTCAGGTCACCGTCTTTGAGGGTTCATGATGAACCTGCCTCTCTATCACTTGATGTATCCGTTTTTGCTGTTTGACCATTCAAAGGCATTGTTATGCGATTTGGTCCAAAGTAATTTGCCTACTTGCAGTGAAGAACTGGGATGTATTTTGAAGTCAATTACACAGCCTTGAGGACAAGGCTGTTAAACGGCGGGAGAATTTTTAGAGATTGATTTTTATTTCATTTTCTTTACTAACTGAGCTTTCCTATTTGATTAGAATATCCATCAGGGTTATACTTAGGATTGGGATTGGGACTCCATTTAAATATATTAACGGTTGAAATTGTTTCATCTTCAATTTAATTAGAACTGTTTCAGTTTTATTCTTTCTTAAACCCTTCACTCCATCAGAAGATTGAGGGGAAATTATTTAGTTCAGCTGTCCAACTGTAAGCCCTATCATGGTCATTAGTATGACACCAATGTGCATTAAGTCAAGTCCCAAATTGGGTAAAAAAAAATAGTGATACTTGTTTGAAGTGCTTCGCATTTAATTAAAGACATAATATTCTAACATCACAATCAAGTTACAAACATATCAAGTTAATTCAGAACAAACAATTCAATGATTGTCTAAAGAAATATGAACAAAACTTACCTGCTCGTTAAGGAAGTGTGCAGAAACAGAATTGAGGGAGTACGAACTTAATTTGTAATCCCTTTGCATAGCCTGCAAGAACCAGAAAGTGGTTGAGGACACCTAGAAAAATATCTCTTTAATCCTTCATAATCAGGGAATATCACATGTAAGGTGGAAAACCTGTAGCAAATCAAATTGAACTCTCCCTTCGATTGTAACTTCTTTACTTTCCCTGGTTCCTAATTGCCTGCAGCTCCAGAAGCAATGTTAAGTTAATTAGTCTTTGAAAAGGCTATGTAAAAATACAAAAACCATTTCATGACACGGAATGCATAGCATGTTGTCCACAGAAGTATCATGAGACAACCAAGGCAGATGTATTAAAACGAGAAAGGAAAGAAAAAGAAAGAAAGAAAGAAAGAAAGAAAGAAAGAAAGAAAGAAAGAAGGACACATGCTACCCAATCTATGACATGGGCTTTCGACAATTTCAATTTTTTGATCTGTTTGTGTTAATAAACAGATTCTAAGTGGACCCCTCATTCTACCAAGCTTTTATGATGAGCGACAACATAATCAAAATGAAAGTAATACAATTCGAACCATAAAAATGAACTTATTGGTCAAAAAACAAAGGTACGACAAACAAAACCAAGGATTCATATTGAAGAAAAACAGATGACTTTGGATGACCTATACCAACAGCTGCAAACTCATTTAATGGGTGTAAATATAAGCATGGACAGGAAAAACTTCTTGGTAACCTTGATGAAAATTTCGCATCTTTGACTCGGACCCTGGTGTTCCGCATGCGCCCAAGTATTGGAAATTCCGCTATCCCCAATGCTTCTGCTCTCTGCAAAGAAAAATAGGAAAAGTATATAATTAGCTTGTTTAAGAATAATGATAACTATCATCTTTGAATGTCACCAGAAAATAAGCAAGAAGATTGGAATGGAGCACCTAAGAAAGAAACTTTAAGGCAGTATAGAGACTTTGTCCCACCTGAATGAGGTATGGCAAATCAAATTTGCAGATGTTATAGCCAATTATAATATCTGGGTCCACTTCACGAATAAAATCCTGTAATAAACAATGAAAAATATTGAAATTATGAACTCAGTAAATGAAAGAAAATGAAAATCACTTTAAAGTATTATTTCTTGTTGAAAATCCTGTTTCAGCCTAAATAAAAGCAATGTGTATCACATAAGAAGTCCAAAGATCCATTTCATTTACAATTGTCACTGTCTCTCTACTTTCTACCAATGCTTTCACACAATTATCATTCTCAGCAAGCAGGTTAAGGATCTAGCATCAAACTTCAGCACCCATGACCTGACTGGCCATACAAACATTGTTTCGCATGGTTATAGAAGGTGCAATATCATAAACTGTCCGTTGACCAAATTAAGAATTAGGGCAGGGAAACTTTAAATATTAGAGGCAGAGACAGAGACAGAGAGTAATCACTGGGACAGATTAATATTGAAGCAGAATCATTGAACCAATCCCTGTGTATTATATAGTTCAAAGAGATTCATTGAACATGATAAAGCAAACTGGAAAAAAAAAAATGCAAACATTTAATGCATGCAGTTCTGTAACTGCGTAGCCCAATTCATTAATTGAAATTTCTTTTCAGCAGTTTTACAAAAGAAAGATATGTATAGCTAGCATATTGGGGGAAACGGCATTGGTTGCTGTTATGTCTATGGTGAAACTAACAGTATACTTGTCATACAAGTGCCAGGAACATTACCCTCCAAGCTAAAAAGACCTCCTTTTCAGTGTCGAATGACATGACATCAACGCCAACAATTGGTGAACAAGACTTAAGGGTCATCACATTGCGAACAAATGGCTGATTTTCTCCCTGTAAGGTTACTAGATTGGCAACCTAGAAAACAGCCAAAAAATAAGACATTGGAATTTGAGAATTAGCAAATACATAGTTAGACATTTACTTGTAAACCTGGATAACAGGATCATGAGTGGGCTCAGGAAAATGGCCTTTTCTCCCAGCACACTCAATGTCAAAACTTAATATGCGAAATGGAGCCATCTTCGAGAATTCCCCTTCAGGAGCATGACTGATCAAATCCGAATAACTAAGAGATTTGTGAAGGACGGGTCATTTTAAAGGAATACGTTTGTGTGAAAACCGTGAAATCAATATCGAGATAGTACTATTTTTAATGCATCAGGATACAGACAATCGAACTCTAACTGACAATAGGAGCAACTTTGTGCTGTCTTCTTATATTTTCCATTAGGAACCTCAATCCAGTTGCCCCCAACTATGTTGCAATCAATCATAAAGCGGAGAGCAAAAAGAACATTACTCTCATATGTAATAAAGCTCTTCATGCCCAGTACATCAATATTAATACCTCTGTCGAGGATACCTGTCCAATTCCCATCTCAGATTACAGAGATATCTAAATAAATATTGTGAACACGAAAGGAGAATTATAATATAACCAGATAACAAATTAACAAAATCCAGAAAACTAGATTAACTTGTGCCATCTACTATATCAATTTATAGTGCATTACAAGCTATTCTAGAATAGTTCATACAAACGAATATCTATTTGAACTTGAATAACCTACAAAAATTCATACCACGACAGCTAGTAACCATTGTGGGCAACGCAACCACAATTTTAAGAAACGGCTGTGACTTCTGCTGTTGGTAAAACATAATGCTTCTTCTCTGAACCAATTCAATACGACGAACAAATTTGGGTACATTATGATTTCGATTTGCTTCTCTCATCCTACCCTGTAACAACCACCAAAGTGACCAGAAATGAAGAGAGAGTGACCAGAAATGAAGAGAGAACAATACAATAAAAAACAATAGCTAGAAAATGCTTATTAGAAGCAATGTAATAAAGATAGTGATGAAAGATACAAACATGTAAATAATTAGAAATACTACCTCAAGGACTTGATAGAGACGGGAGATATCATCAGGACCCATGCCTGGAGGGCAGCTGATGTAGAAGTATGGTTCAAACCCATGTACAAGACAGCAAACACTATGTCCTGGCAATAAGAAATTGTAGAAAATTTAGAACGTATGTTCTTTTATGCAGGTTCAATGAAAATTTAGCTATGTACCTTAAACATCGCATCGCCAAATAAACCATAGGCTTATATTTCAAATGAAACTCACATTTGTACTTACAATGGAAGCTTAAAATAGAAGTTACATGTACTTATTATAGAAGTATTTTCTCCCATTGCAATTCAAACATACGAAGGGATTGAAATTCAAAATGGAAAAGACAAGGCCAATATCAAGACTCAGTCCAATTATGTCTTATAGTGTACAAAGAAACCAATAAGAATTCTATTTTAACGTACAATTCCAAAAATATCCGCCTATGAATAAAATTTAAAAAAAAAAAATATGAGGCGTTCCTACACTCCTACTCCCGTAGTAACAAGCACTCCAGAAAATCCTCTGCGAATCACACACACACACACACACAGAACTGACCTTCTTTCGTCACTCCGAAGATCCTAATAACTGCAGCGGGGCCTGAGGAATTTGGCAGAAGTTCTTTGTGGCTATCTCCAATTACATAATCTATTTCCAACTGCTGGAAGACTGCAAGACAGAAAGTGAGGTTAAAAATAGGCAATTGAAACTGCATATTTCATAGCATTTTCATAAATTATCCCTTTTTACATTCAAAAGACCTAATAAGATATGCGTATATCTAATGCAGCAGTCATCTCACACACACATGTAAGAACAAGAACATCAAATTAAATAGAAACTGATTAGCACCACATACTGCAAAGTATGATGAGCCTATTTCATTATCAACAAAGTGACAACTTCAGCTTCACAAACTTTCTACACCTAAATAAAGCATAACATAAAATTCCTAATCTTGCAACCCATAGGAGGCGAGAAACTGAAGGCAATTATTAATTAAAACTGAAAGGTAATAGATACACCAAATGAAGGAGAGAGAGATAGAGAGAGTAAGAGATTTAAGGAGCCACACTTAGAGCACATAGTACAAGCACCAACAGTTCAAGATGAAACTGACTTTAAATTTCAAAATTTACCAATGTTCTGAGACTGTGATAGGTACGAGGGGGAAAGTGCCGGGCGCTTCCACTTGATAAGACGGTCGGCGAAGGCATGGCGCTGGGCGTCCTCCTCCTCGTACTGCAGGAGGGTTTCCTCGAGGAATATGTCCTCGTCTAAATCCTCTTCTTCCATCGTCGCATGATGCTTCAGCTGAGGAGATGGAGTTGCCGCCGGATTAGGCGACGGCGCCGCTCGTTTCCTGGTGCTGCCGGTGGTGCTCATTGTTAATGGGGAGGGTTTTGGGAGGATGTGAGTTGAATTCCCGCCAGTTTCAGGAACGTGGAGTAGCTTATAGGAATGGCAAATCTATCATTTCTAAACAATCCTTTCTACACAACATTGGTACTTTTTTGCTACAATTTTTTAATTATAATTGTCATATTTAAATATACAGTCTTGCCAAATCAAAATATTTATGTCAACCGCTAAACACCGCCCCTTTTCGATATTTACCGTCCCTAAAAAACTAATTTGCTCTTTATATATTTTTTAAAAAAAGAATATGTGTCCCTCTTTAAAATTGTTTACCGGCCAAACCGAGCCTCGAAAAATTCCAAAAACACCTCTGAATAATTCCGGCGAAAAAATGCTTTCCAACAAGACTGGTCATGCGGCGGTTGACCGGTCAAACCGGCGGCCGACCGGTCAAACCGGCCAAAAATAATTTATTTTTTTTTTGGGCCGGCCGGCCTCGAATGCCGGTCGTAGCCGTGTCGGCCTTCTTTTTGCCGGTTGGTCGGTCAATGCACGGCCGGTTTTGCCGGTTGGCCGGACCATGCACGGCCGGTTTCGCCGGTAGGCCGGCCCATGCACGGCCGGCTTTGCCGGCCGGCCGGCTATTTTTTTTTTTTTTTTAAGAAAAATCAAAATTTTAATTATATATACATTATATTAGAATTTAGATTTATGTTATAAATCAGAATTTAATATCTCATAGTTATAATTTAGAAATTGTTAAATTATAAATTATATCTAATTATCTTATAGAATTTTATTATTATGTTAGAACCCATTAATTATTATGTTATATAACAATATACTAATTATCTCTAATAAAATACTAATGAGTAATGCTATTAAAAATTGTAGTTCTCTTTTTTTTCTTAAACGCTCCTTTTCAACTCGGTAATAAATTTTAAAATACAAAATAATATTTTACTTAAATTTGAAATTCATAAATACCAATTTAAATAACAAATTGAACGAAAAAAAATCGGATTCTGTTAGAGCAATTCATTGAGACCGATTAATTAAGTATGATTTGACCGAATTTTATGACAACAGATTGTTTGACACTTTTCTCAGAGTTATATGATTCGTTTGAATATTATAGTAGGAAAAGCGTTCTAACAAAATAGTAATAAATTCTAATTTATAATAGTAATAATCTATACCATAATAATTTCTAACTTCTAACATAGTAGTACTAAATATTATTTCATAAGGCTATCAATTCTAAATCATACCATAATAATATCCAACTTCGAACATAATAGTAATAAATTATAATTTATAACATAGTCAGTTTTAATCTATAATACAATAATTTCTAACCTCTAACAAAATAGCAATAAATTCTAATTCATAAGACAATCAATTCTAATCTATAATACAATAATTTCTAACATAATGAATGTCATAAATCACAAACATAATATACCCTAAACTCTAAACCCTAAACCCTAAACCCTAACCACTAAACCCTCAACCCTAACCCCTAAACTCCTAAACCCTAAACCCTAACCACTAAACCCTCAACCCTAACCCCTAAACTCCTAAACCCTAAACCCCTAAACCCTAAACCCTAAACCCCTAAACCCTAAACCCTAAACTCTTATTTCGGGTTATGTTTGTTACGCACTTGTTGAGGATAAAATGAACTAACAACACATACAATTAAAAAAATGATATTAGTATAATTAGTATAAGTTATATTATTATAAATCAGAAATGATACTTGTTTGAAAAAAATATATTAGTATAAATTATTATGTTATATATTAGAATTGATTATCTTAGAATTTATTACTAATATGTTAGAAGTTAGAAATTATTGTATTATATATTAGAATTAGTTGTCTTATGAATTAGAATTTATTGCTATTTTGTTAGAGGTTAGAAGTTATTGTATTATAGATTAAAACTGATTATGTTATAAATTTAATTTATTACTATTATGTTTGAAGTTGGATATTATTATGGTATGATTTAGAATTGCTAGCCTTATGAAATAATATTTATACTACTATGTTAGAAGTTATAAATTATTATGGTATAGATTATTACTATTATAAATTAGAATTTATTACTATTTTGTTAGAACGCTTTTCCTACTATAATATTCACACGAATCATATAACTCTGAGAAAAGTGTCAAACAATCTGTTGTCATAAAATTCGGTCAAATCATACTTAATTAATCGGTCTCAATGAATTGCTTTAACAAAATCTAATATTTTTCGTTCAATTTGTTATTTAAACTGGTATTTATGAATTTCAATTTAAGTCAAAATATTATTTTGTATTTTAAAATTTATTACCGAGTTGAAAAGGAGCGGATTTAAGAAAAAAAGAGAACTACAATTTTTAATAGCATCACTCATTAGTATTTTATTAGAGATAATTAGTATTATGTTATATAACATAATAATTAATGAGTTCTAACATAATAATAATAATAAAATTTTATAAGATAATTAGTTACAATTTATAATTTAACAATTTTTAAATTCTAACTATGAGATATTAAATTCTAATTTATAACATAAATCTAAATTCTAATATAATGTATATAATTAAAATTTTGATTTTTCTTTAAAAAAAAAAAAAAAAAAAA